TCTCTCTCTCTCTCTCTCTCTCTCTCTCTCTCTCTCTCTCTCAGAATTTAATTTTAAAATTTACAGAATTAAAAAATTTCTAGAAATTTAAAAAAAAATTAAAAATAAAATATTAACAGTAAAATGACTTACTTGACACCAAACGGTAGATACTCTGCTGTCGATCAATCTTTGATCTGATATTGCTAAAGCATATAGCTGTTCGGAATATACGCGGTATCGTAGATACAATGGCCCAACAATGAATGCGAATGGTAAAAGCATTCCCAGCAAACACAATCGCATCACTCTAAAAGGTACTTTATAACTTGATTTTCGCGGTTGCCAATCTCGAGGGCGAATACCATCCTCTGCAAAAAATGTCAATATAAAACATACAAACATTCCATTATTATAGTCTTCCGAATATTAATGAAACTAATTTTCAATGCTTAATTTTGTTTCTTGAGATAGAACGCTTGAAATCTATTTAGTAATTTCTAAATATGACTGACTTCATTTTTATTTATCTTTATACCAGTATTAAAGTAACATCAAATAATGAGGTAATAACATCTTAATGTCTTAACGACAGCTTTAACGTCAATGAGACATAATGAATACGTCACCTTGCAATACTTAAGATTTAGTATAAATCAAAACTGATTTTTACTACTCGTTCTAATTCGATCTCTTTATATCCAGAAAAATATTTAAAAATTAAAAAATGTTTTTTCAAACATGTAACGAATGTGATACTCTCAAAATTATATTCTTTCTTACAAGGACCTTTATGTAGAAAACTAAAGGTGAAAAACGATAAATGTTACAGAGAGATAGAATTTTACAGATATAAAAATATTATGCATTTGTTTCCTTGCAGTTGTAGCCAGCAATTATTGATACTCGATATTGAGACTATAAATAATTTTAGAAGTAGACCTAATTAAGCGTATCAACCTCGATATGAAATGTATAGCGCATGTAGGAGATATAATTCTTTATCGTTATTATCTGCAATGACAATCCACAAGATATGTCCTTGTCTACAAATGTAGGTGCGTTTAAAAAGCAGTGGAAATTTCCATGAATTCTCTATAGTTAATTTCGCTAAAACATAATACTAAAATGCGAGTTTCCGTTTTATGGAAAACCGACTCATAAATTTCTAAAGATATCTTGCAACTCATCTTATTTAATAATAAGATGAGGTGCAAGATATTTTTAAATAACATATAACATAAAATGCCTGTCTGTATATTTTAATATTTTTAATGATGTATTCGATAATGTGTACTACAAATAAATTTTATCTAACAAAAAGTCCAATTAGAGCAAAGATTTTCAAATTTGTATGCATTAAAAGTCAATCTTAAACATATTTTCACGAAGTTATTATATCCGTATAATTATCTTTTCTCATGCTTCTCAAAATATAAAAGTAACATTTCATACATCGAAAAGCAATATAAATGTATCAATTAATTAGAATGCGTTGGCATTATTTTATAAATGTGTGTACAGAAAAAAAAATTTATTTAATTTTTTTCTTGAATAGTTCAAAGTAATTTCTCTGCTGTAAATAAATATTTACTAAATATAAACATATGTTACTTTTTTATAAGTTTTAATAAATATTTATTTGCAGTAAAGAAATGTTTATCTGAAATTATATTCAAGAATAAAATTACTTACACTTACATTTAGACATCTGTTTTCAGTGTGGCACGTGTTAGTCAATTTATTTATAACATTTTGTAATACCAGATAAATCATTAGAAAATCTAAAAATCACAACAGCAAACTATATATTTAAAAACACGTGTGAGTATAATAACACCGCGGCGATTACATGCAATGACTTCGTGAACTCGTGGGAGAAACGCGGACAGACGTCGCGAGAATCTCGTACGATACCAGATTTGATGATGAAGAGGTCATCGGTCTCACCTTTACACTTCAATAAACGATGACCTGATTTACAGAATGCACTGCACGATAACTTATCATATATCGTATTGATAACTCTTCTTTTTTTGCGGAACGGTATTATTGGATAGGGAGATCATTGTTTACTCAGACGGTTTGGGCAAATAAAGCATCGTGAAAATTAAACAGTTTAATGAAACGGTTCCTTTCATTATGAAGACCTTGTGATTTATAATAAAGAACTTATATTTAATTCAAACGAAAGCGATGCATATTGTATACATTGATTAATTAAAACAGTCTCTCTTTCTCTATCAGTAATTTACTTTTATAGTGTAAATTTTATGTTATAGGCTAGTGAAGTTATATTAATAGTAACTTTTTAGAATTTTGTTTTTTTGCTAAAAAAAAGGAAAAGAGTTTATTATAAACGTACTAAAAATGTATTAAAAAGTTACGTGAAATTTCTTTTAAATTCAGACAGTCCCGTGTCGGCGCTTTGCCTCAAAATAAACTTATAGGAAGAAATACGATGCAGACTTGTATCGTGTTATGCGCATTATATTTGTAGAAAGAAACATTCATCTGTACGTAGAACACGTGCTGCTATACTTGTAGTGTCCAGCCAAGTCGAGAAACTTAAAAATAAAACCAATCTATCTCGCGAGGGCGGCATACGCATCAGTTCTGTTACGATCAAATGAACTACATTAAAGATGAATGCGCGATTATAGAATGAATATGCCGCCTTTTTAAAGGCAACGTTTTCTCTCATTGTTACACAGTGCGGTTAATTATTGAATATGCATTGTACGAACTTATATATAATAATCGTTGAAGAATGCTAATATCACATACTTCCAAGTCTTTATTGCTTCACATTTTATAATTATATATTGAAAATGTATTTCAGCATCTCGTTCGTTCGTCGTATATCTTTTAATTGAACGAAGAAGGCACATTTTTCTTACAATTAAACGAAGGAAGAAACACGTGCGTTTGCGGATTTCCGCTCACAAGAAGAGTATCGTTGCAACGCACTACTTCTGTAAAGTTCAAATATTATTGTCGTTCAAAGTGCACATCGAAGAATCAACAGAGTGACGTGTTGCATATTTATACGAGGTGGCAATTGCCTTTATACAGTTTCCACGATGCACTTTCATTTGAAGAGATAATACACTGAGGCATTGATATGAAAAGCCGCGACAAATTCTCGACGGAGATTCCTACAAAGAAATATATATACCTATTCTTAAAGGTGTCGTTGACATTTTCCTTGAAAGATCGCGGCATAGACCTGCTCCTTCTCAAAACTCTCAAGACACAAAACGCGGAAAAACTGCTGCTACGTTTTCTTTCCGAAACAAAACGCACAAATAGAGCTTATCTAATAAGCGTATACGCTACGCTGATTTTTCACGTTCATGTTATATAATATCAAATCATTTCCAAACGATAATATTATTTGCAGTTTCAGTTTCCGAGATCCGACGCTGAAATAACGCAGCAAATTTCAAATGTGCTAAAATTGTCCCTTGACTCATTCATTAATCTACATTTGAACTAATTTACACATTTTTTTCAATGAGAACAAAGACAAGGATTTTAAAAACGTCTTTTACGAGACTTGTTTAACTGAAAGAGTGCTTTTGCCGCGATGTGACACGATAATTATATTCGATCTGCTATCGCGAAATCGAACAAAACGCGCGATGCGTATCGGTCGCCGCCGACAGATCGACTGAATCTACGAACGAACATGCTTTGTATCAATGTCTTATCGTACTTTAAAACGAGCGAATTAAAGAAGTCTCGATTGGCGGTCTATTTGCCCAGGATTTGTGACGCATGCAATACCGTTGTACTTGTCGCATATGAGGTAACGACATGTCGAAAAACAACTTATTTACTATCCGAAAAATTCCGGAATTTTAAATTTTTATCGTAAACATCGATTTCTTTTTTTTTTTTCTTCTTTAATCAACAAATGTGCTTAGTGATGATAAATATAATTCTGTAATTCTGTTAAACGTAAAACACAGCGCACAAAAGTAATCAACAGTAAACTTGGATAATTAAATAAGAACAAAAATTTTGATTTATCGAAATATGATTTATCTGTACGTGTGATGAACTATGCTCCTAATGAATTCGAAATTGGTACGAAAATACATGTATTTTTGAAATATATTTTACTGATATATATATATATATATGTATATAATTTATACATCATTATTAGTTTCTATGTACATTTAATACTCATATACTAAGTCTATAAGTAATTAAAATTGATTAATCATATTATTTAACAATTATGAATTATTTTAATGATGGGAATAACCTTTACTAAAACTTTTGCTGTCTTTAGATTTGTGGGTTTTCTCTCCTCTTCGTCTTTTATTTAATGGATTCCGTGGATCGTAAATTTCGAACCAATCGTCGTCTTTCGTGCTGGCATCCTTGGCAAGCACTGGTGCCTTCTCTTCGCAGTGCAAAGCGTGCGTCAACCAAGATTCATCATGCGGATCGTCGTCCTCAGTATTTTTCGACGTCTTCTTATCGGAACTCGTCATATTATCATTCGTGTGTTCCTTGGCATTTTGAAGTTTACTCTTGAATTGTTTAAATAGTTCCATCGTAAAATCCTCACGCGTTTTACCCTTCTTAGGCAATTTTTCCTTAGCTTTTTTATATTTTTCCTGTGTCTCTATATATTCTTTCATTATTTCAGACTTACTTTCCTTTTTTTCAGTTTGTTGCTTTTGATCTATCTCCTTTGCTTTCTTTTCATTTTGTACGCTGCGCTTTAGATCGCGTATTTCTTTCCTTATTGCTTCACTGCAAATTAAATTTTAAATAATACAAATACTTATCTCTCATTTTTTCTAAAGATATAAATCTATTTCACATATATTTATATAATAAAATATTACATACGCCTTTTTCTTTCGTTCTTCCTCTCGATCTTTTCCGAAATAATATTCTTCAACTTCTTCAACCGCATTTTCATTTATACTTTCATCTTTCGTTTCATCGTTCTCGATTTTCGATTTTGATTGGGAAATCTTTTTAGAGTCTTTCAATTTATTCTTGATTCTCTCTTTCATAGCTCTATTAACATATTATTATAACTATATTACATATAATATTATAATAAAATTATTATATATTTTATTTTCAAATAACTTACTCTTTTTCTTGTTTCAAAGCAGCCAATTCTTCTGGAGATCGTGTTTCATCATCACTCACACAATCGCTGCTGGATTCCCCTTTGATTTTTTTACTTGGTGGTTCAGTAGGTTCGATCACAGACTGTGAGCTTAACTTTGGATCAGATAAACAGTCGTGCGCTGATTTTCCTTTGCCACTATATTGTTTATTTAAAATTGATGACTCTTCTTCATCTTCCTCAGCTTCCTCCCCAAATGATAGCAGCTTGAAATTTCTAACACAATTTAAAATGTATACGAAAGATAAACATTATTATTTAAAACAACTATATATTTATCTTACTTTACACCAGTCTTTTTATTCTTCTTTTTTTCTCTGCTATCTTCCTTCTTTTCAGGTACTATTCTTGGAACAATATCCTGGAATGGATTGTTTAAGACTTCAGTTTTTAAAATTTTTTGTGGATACTGAGGTCTATCATTCTGAAATTAAATATTTTTTATTACAAAATTGTATATTAATCTTTTTAAGTAAAAATATATTATATGTCAAACAATTACTTCATCTACGAGCGCGTCTTCTAACTTAAGCATGTTATAAATTGTTTCACCAGTGACTTTTCCAAAGACAGTATGCTTATTTTGTAACTCGGGTGTCGCACCAAGTGTAAAGAAAAATTGAGAACCGTTGTCATCTTTGCCAGCATTGGCCATAGCAAGCAATCCTCTCCGACAAAAACGTAATCTTGTATGAAATTCATCCTGTAAATGCGTATAAAAAATGAAATTGATATTCAGAAAATTAGAAAATGTTACAATAAATAAATAAAAGGCTAATGAATCAAGGTAGATAACTGTACTTATTTCTCTAATAATACAAACAAATGTATAAAGAAAAAAACATGAAATGATCACAGATGTTTTGATCATATCATCCTCAATATCAATATAGTGATATAAATAAAAAATTAAAATGTTAAATTATGAATAATGATATAAATAAAAATAAACAAATATGTAAATAAGAATATGTAATATAAATAATAATTGTCAACAGTATACAAAAACAAAAAGCATAACTAGCTAAAATTAATAATAACTATACCTTAAAGGGATATCCATATATGCTTTCACCACCTTCTCCTGTTCCTGTTGGATCTCCACCTTGCACTATGAAACCTTTAACAATTCTATGAAATATTGTATCATTATAATAACCCTCCATGCAAAGCTGTATAAAATTTCTGCAAGCCTTAGGAGCTTCTTTCGTCCATAATTCCAGATCTATATCGCCAACTGTTGTTTTCATTATCACCTATTTGATGAAATAGGAAAATTAATTAAAAACAAAATGTGTTATTAATTTAATTACCTTGCATGTATCAGAACAATAATAAAATAAACATAATAAATTACAAAGAAAGTTATATGTTTATATTTTCACATTACCTAATACAGTTCTTTATTTGAAAAATATTATATAAATTATCTTACGACTTTATATATACTATAATTTTTTACATATAAAATAATTCACACTTACTTTGCCTGTAGTAGGCGGTTCTTGTATATAAATATTACTCATATTTATAACCTCTTATTACAACTGATCACGAGAAGCATAAACACAAAGGCCAACGGGTCGACTCTCGACAGTCTCGACTGGGTTCAATATATAAGATCCGACATGTTGTAACTATTCAAGTTTCCAGTAGATGGCGGATGTTTCCAATCAGCTGTTCACGACATATTTAAATTTAAAACGATCGATATGCATGTGAATACTAATTAGTGAATGTATAATAAAATAGCAATATTAATGATACTATATAAAGACAATTATTATTGTTGTAATAATACTGTATATTTATATATATATAATTAAAAAATGAAACTTATGTAAATATTATAATACATTTATTAACAAGTTACTTTCTTTTTTAACAAAATCGGAAATACAATATCTAATGAAATAATTTGATTCTCGCATGGTTTCAACAATCTAATTTCAATTCCAACATAAAAATCGTGACAGAATTCTGCTTGTAAATGCTTCTACACACACAATCGAATGTTTTCACTCTATTGATAAAACATACACGGTATCCAAGAAACTTAGTTCTATAAGCTGTTCTCTTAAATACAGAAGGAGCAGGCCTATAATAATTTCTAACGGTGTTCTAAGTATATTTATTATTAATTTGTAATTATAGACAAAATAGATATTTAACACTGTTCTAATAATATTTTATAAAATTATTACGAAACAATCGATTAAAAAAATCTTGGCAAAGTGATAAACAACGTATTTAATAACGTGTTTGTGAACATGGAGTGGAATGCTTTGGAATCAACTCTCGTAGTGTGTCAATTTCCAAATTCCTATCAGCCAAATCAAATCCGATTAAAAGACTACATAAAAGATATTTATGTCCCTGAATTTTCCACAGAATGGAAAAGAAACATATTGGATTTGATACCTCATGCGGTCAGACGAAAACACTCTGCTTTTATAAACTCAGTACTAGATGAAGTAAAAGATATGTACGTTCGAAATATGAAAGAGTTCGTCTTGAAATCTATCCTGTCCTGCAAAATATATAAAAGAGAACACGTTGCTTGCGAGGAGTGCGACGTTCCTGTTGACTTGAAGAGAAACGTTGAGGAAAATAGAATACATGATCAGGCGATATTTTTGCAACGCCGTAATTTGTTTGCCAAGAGATACTTTCTTTCTTATCCAATAATCAGATATATCATGAACACAGCATACCGTATTCTACCTGCAGTAATTTGTGACTTCAAACGTTATCATAAACTCGGACTATTAACACTATGTTGTTTTCAAGATACGATTCTTAAGGACATTAAGAGAGGCTCTTTAGTTATCACCAATAAGTTTTATACCGAGACATTTAATGCCGTACAGAAATCGAAGCTATTAAGAAGCATCTCTGGGAAACGTCTGTCTCAATTTATGCGGTGTCTCACAAATGTATTCGTCCAGCAGATTCTCAATGTAATGATGAGATCGATTGATCACATAATAGACACCATGAAGGACGGCCGTTTCTGTCCTCAAATCGAATTTCAGCTGATATGCGAAAATGACCAGCTTATAACCAAACCAGATATACAGAAGGTTTTCTCGACGTATCATAATATTATCCGAAGCATTGAAGGTATCGGGCAAAATCTGATGCCACTGGAAGAATGGCTGAACGTCAAAGCGAAGGAAAGGTTCATAAAGATAGCGCTTCCTGAATGGTTCGTCGAGAAATCTCACCGGAATTTACAGGAGATATTAGACACTCTGTTTAAATCTATGAACGAGCACGTAGCGTTCATTTCCGTGGAATTTAGCGGTATATACACGTCGAGTGCCGAAAAACAAATACTAACTTTGACTTCTAAACAACCGAATTTCGACTCTTACTTCGAGCACATTTGCAAGTATAATGAGTATTTAAACAAAACAAATTCTATGGTCTCCAATTTGTACTATAACGTAGGAAAGTTGGAGCAAAGCAGTGCCAAGAAATCCTTGAGGCAGATCTGCAATAACGTTATAAGCGTCCTCACGACAGAACTCGTGAAGTATCATCAAGACTTCAACCGTTCGATTTGTGCGGACTTTGAGAATCTGAAATCTATGGCGTTGGATATTCCGCGAGACGCTAATTCTTTGACACAATTGAGTGAACGTATGTCGCAAGCTTCGAAAGTACTGATAAAAGAGCAGGAACAAAAGATACGAGAATCGATCTACATGTTGAGCAAATTGTTGGAGATTACTGTACTAACTGACGAGCACATCGATTTAAATAAGACCACTATCAATTGGCTGAGCGATATCCAGCCTGTGTTCGCACAAAACAATACATTGTGCGAAGCTATGAAAAGCGAGCTGGAGGAGGATCTTCAACGGAGAATAAATGCATTGAACTCAGAGGTTGACGCGACGTTCCCGCAACTTATCATCCTAGACGATATGGATGACATGAGCAAGGTCGGAGAATATATAGAACATTATAAGGATCTGATCAAAAAGTACAAATGCATAGACGAGGAGATGCAAGTTATTAATTCGGAGGAAAGTCTCTTCAAGTTTCCCGAAACGGAGTTTCCGAAAATACTCGAGCTAAAAGAAACGATCGTGCCGTTCTACAAGCTCATATGTACTATTCATCAGTGGCGAAGGGACAACTCAGTATGGCTGAATGGTCCGTTTGAATCCCTGGATGCTTCCGTTATCGAGAAGAAGACTATGAATTACTTAGATGAAATCACGGATTTGAACAAAACGATGAAGTCGCGCATTAAAATGGACGCGACGGCGAACAAGTCGTACAAATTTTCCGGCATCGCCGACGATCCTGATCCAATGCAGCAGCCTGCACCGTTGAAATTATGTTGGCAGACACTTGGTAACATTAATGAGTTCAAAGTTTACGTGCCGCTCGCAGTTTGCATGTGCAATCCAGCTTTGAATGCGCGTCACTGGAAGGAGATGTCCGTGATATGCAATTTCGATCTTACGCCAAACGCAGGAACGACTCTGAGGAAAATGATCGACATGAATCTAATGGATAACATCGATAAGTACAAGGCCATAAGCTTGGGTGCCAACAAGGAGCTTCGTCTTCAGCAGGAATTGGCTGAGATGATTAAGGAGTGGGAGCCGATATCATTCGAAATGTCGACCGATGCAGAATCCGGTATGGTATTTTTTAAACACGTGAATGACATCGAAACTCTTCTTAGCGAACACCTCATTAAAATCGAGGAAATACGAGCGTCGCATTTCGTAAAGCCAATATTGTCAAACTTAATTGACTTTTACACTATTCTCATAAGGATCCAAGAAATCCTTGATCAGTGGACGCAAGTGCAATGTCGCAAACTCCATTTAAAGTCAATATTTTCTTATCCAAAAATAGAGATACGTTTGAGCCAAGAAACTTCACTATATTCAGAAGTAACAAACATTTTATTAGATATTAATAACAGATTTATGAAGAATCCAAATTTTTATGAAATCAAAAAATCATCTGATTTGCTCGAGATCTTAAATAAAGCTAATGAGACATTGGAGAAAGTAAGCAAAAGTGTAAGGAATTATTTAGATATTAAAAGATTATCGTTCACGAGATTCTTCTTTCTCGAAGATTCAGAAGTTCAGAAAATCTTGTTCGAATCGATTAATACAGAGAAACGGCATACACTCGTGAAGAAATGTTTTGCTGGTATAGAACGATTGAGATTTAATAAATCTAACTGCATTCGAGGCTTCATTGGACATTACGGGGAAATGTTGTATCTAAATAATGATATTTCCTTATCCACCGACACTGAGTGCGAAGAACAATGGTTGATTCAGCTTGAAAGAGAGATGAAAGACGCGGTTCACAAAAATATTTTGCAGTGTCATTCTCTGATCGATGAAAATTTGACATTCGTTCCCGTTGATAACTTTCCAAGCATGGCGATCATTTGCAGTTTGCAACTTTATTGGACCTGCTCGATAGAAAAATACCTTACACCAAGAAACATTAAGATGTTAAACTCTTTTCTCACGACGTACATCAACGGGATAATTTCGATAACTAACGAATTAAAAAATAATTTAACGCAAAGACGTAGGAATCTATTGATGTCATTGATCGTTATCATGTTGACTCATAAAGAAATTATAAAGTTGCTACTAGAGAGAAATATTGTTAAACAGACAGACTTCGAATGGGTCGCGCAATTGAGATATTATTGTAATGATAAAGTTGTCGAAGTATCGGTATTCAATACAACAATTAAATACGGATATGAATATAACTATTGTCAGCGGAATATTGTTAGCACTCCCTTGACTGATAGATGCTTTCGCACTATACTGCAAGCTTATCGTTATCATTTGTATAGCAGTATTATAGGTCCAACTGGTACCGGAAAAACGGAAACGATCAAAAGCTTGACAAGAGCTATCGCGAAGCCATACAATGTCATCAATTGCAACAATAGCATCTCTTATGATTGCGTGATGCGGATATTTAAAGGAGTGATCTCTTGCGGAGCGTGGATTTGCTTCGAGAACTTTAACAGATTGAAACTAGAGTTGCTGTCGCCTATTGCTCAGAATCTCATGCAAATGAAGCAAGCAGTTTCATCTAATTTGAAGATCGTAAGCTTCGAAGGTTGCAACTTGAACTTAAACGCCACCGGAAATATATGCGTTAATATGAATCCGGAGCAATCAAGATACGCTGATTTGCCGGATAATTTGAAGATTCTCTTTCGTTCCGTATCGATGATGTCTCCGGATATCGATAAAATTGCTGAAGTTGAACTCTTCGCTGGAGGATTTAATTATGCGAAAAATCTAGCGACGAAGCTAACTGTCAGTTATAAATTATTATCCGAACATCTGGGAGAAAAGCGCCATTACAACTTTAGTATGTCATCACTGAAGACTGTCGTCGCGACTGCAATTAATATGAAACGAAACATCCCAGAGGAAAACGAATATACCCTTCTACTGCGTTCGATGATACACATAAATATTCCTCAGCTATGTAATACTGACATATCAATCTTTCAGAATATCATGCAAGACATTTTTCCTGAGTCTGCCGTGCTTCCTTTCG